AGGTGACACTCTGTGTTGCAAGAGACACCTGTGAGACAGACAAAGAAGCAAATGCTTCTGGCACCTATTTTTTAGGGATTTTTTTTATTATTTTTATTTTATTGTTTTTTTTTTTTAAATCCACAACTGTGGTTTTAGAAAAGCAGATTAATCAGAGTTATCAGAGTTATGGTATCCAGGGACAGCAGGAGAACTACTCTTCAGGGGGCTTTGTGAGATTGATCTAGCCACAGTACCTACACTGTTTCTACCAACATGTCTCCTTTTCCTGGACCCAGTACCTGATTTACCTCTCATGACCAATCTTCTTCTGGAAGACTCTATTGATTGTAGCAGGAATAATAATCATGCTTCAGCATTTATAAGGATTTAAATCTATAAATTCTGTTCTTTCATCATGTATTCAATAGTCAGATTGCATCAGAAGCCAGTGACCTGGAACAGAAAAGCACAGAGGAAGACAAAAGTCTGTCCTCTGGGAAGGCCTGTGCTCACTGTGTCATTTTTCTTCCTTTCTTTTTTTGTGTTTCTGATGCTACCACGCTCTGAATTAGCCTCTGGATCTGCCTTTTGCTCCACTTCAGAGTCTAGAAGGACCAGCCTCCTACCTTAACTTAGTTGCCTACATTTAAATTACACACTCATCAATGTACATCAATTTAATATCAAAAAAAATATATCACATGTACATTTTTTTAATATTAAAGATCTCTATTCACTTTCAGTAATTGCTTGGATGAATAACCCTGGTATCCACAAGAAGTTCTATATGACCCATCTCAAAACTTTCCTCTTCGAGAAGATAACAAGAGAATTTTATGGCAACCAGAAAATAGAGTATTTTGTATATACATGTAATACCAGAAATGGTAATGTTGATTTAGATGAAAAATGCTGAAAATGGTAGAAAAGAGAGGGCTATGCACTGAACACTGGTTCTTTGAACACTGGATCCAATCTTTCATACACTAAATATATATTTTAATGCAGATGTTTAGGTCCAGGAATCAATGATATGAAATATCAGACTGGGAAAGCAATGAAACCTTTACTTGTAGCACTGACACATCTGATCTCACTGCTTCTTTACCAAATTAGTCTTGCCTCATTTGATGACTGACCTGAGTACGAATTAGTGCAGTCTCACTGAGCCATTTCTCTGTCCTAAAAAGTTCCCCCTCAACAACACCCTTTGAACTGAAGCTTTATGCTCACCGCTCCTGACTCATCCTTTCTTCATCCTGCTCACACAAGTATTTAATCAGGTGGCATATTGCTCATGGCCAAACAAATAGTTGGCACATTCTGTTCCTCTGTACAGACTTTGCTATTCAAGCAGAGAACATCTGTCCTGTTGGCTGTGTTCACTGGAGGTTATTGAAAGACCAGAGAGACAAGCATATGTTTTTTTTATTCCAGTATCTGGACCACATCTCTGAATGGAAGCTCACACTGTTCCTAGCAAACCTTGCTCACAGGCCACTGATTCTGATCTGTGTCTTGTCCTGTGCCTGTAAACCGTAACACATTTGCACTTCTGCTGTACTGACCCTACACGTCTTTGGATGACCTTTAATATTATTTTGGGGAACTGCTAAATCTTCTCAAACAAGAAAAAAAAACCCACAAAAAAATCAGTGATACACACATGAGCAAAATCTGTGCATGAAAAGGCTTGACTAAATCTGGGTGAAATTTTTTAAAGTTCTGCAAAGTGTTTAACAGTTGAAAAGTGGTGTTCTCTGAAAGGAACGAACAAAATAGCACCCATAATGCATAATATACTGATTTCACTGGGAATTTTTCTATGAGTCATTACACTCTTCTATGGGTACCTCTGTACTTAAGGGTTTTGAAGACTACATATATCTACAAATATAGATGTTCTGGTCTACATCAGCTATTATTAAATTAATCTTAAATTTATTTGAGAAGCAGGAAAAGAACTGTACACTGTTAAGCTATTTACAATTTAAAACTTTGGTTTAAACAAGTCAGCATTTTCACTAACACCATTGTATTTGAAATGTCCACTACAAAGGGAAATATTCTTTAATATTTCATGTACATTATACAGACTGGCATCGGGTACTTACAGTCCTTTTGTTTTGCCAATTCACAAGCACAATGACAAAGAACAAGATCACTTTAGCCTAATTAGTCTTACTTATAGCTTTCTTCATGAGGTAATCTTCAGGTGCAGTAATATATAACCAGCATGAGAGGGAGTGGATTCTGCCCCCTCCTCTGCAGGGCTGCCTCCATCTCTGGGGTCCCAGCGCAGGAAGGACAGGGACCTGTTGGAGCCAGTTCAGAGGAGGCACCAAATTGATCAGAGGGATGGAGCAGGCAGAGTAGAGAAAAGGCTGAGGCAACTGGGATTGTTCTGCCTGGAAAAGAGAAGGCTCTGGGGTGGCCTAATGGGGGCCTCCCAGTACCTGAAGGGAGCCCACAAGAAAGATGGAGGATGGAGTGACAGGACAAGGGAAAGGGCTTCAAACTGACAGAGAGTAGGTTTATATTAGAGATTAGGAAAAAAAATCTTTATTGTGAAGGTACTGAGGCACTGGCACAGGCTGTCCAGAGGAGCTGTGGCTGCCCCATCCGTGGAAGTGTTCAAGTCCAGCTTGGATGAGCTCTGAGCAACCAGGTCTATTGGAAGGTGTCCCTGCCCATGGTAGGGGGTTCAGAATGTATGACCTATAAAGTTCCTTCCAACCCAAACCATTCTGTGATCCTATGGTATTTATCTGCAGGACATATTGTGAGCATAAGGGGACACCATTCCCGATTTGCATCAAGAGGTTTCAGAGTTGTTATCTGGCTTTGTATTAAATAGCTGTAATCATCTCAGACACTTAAAAACCCCTGACACTGTAACGTTTGGCAACGGTAAAATAGCTGTCACTGACTGCACACAAGAATTAAGGAAGAATTAACTCACAGACCATTTATGGGAGTATGTGTGGGCAGTGCACATTATGCAGAGATACGGTTCGGATCCTTTAGGTGAAGAAATTATTAAATGAATAAATCTCTATTATATGCAAAATAAAGGGGGGGGGGGGGGGGAAAAAAAAAAAAAAAAAAAGGAAGAAAGCAAGGCGAGATAAAACCTTTGGGGCCCCAAAGCCGCGGCGACGCGAGGCAGCGCCGGGCGCGGGGCCGGCCGCTGCCCGCCGCCCGCCAGTAGGGGGCGCTCGGGCTTCACCGTGAGGCGCTGCCGGCGGCCCGCCACGGGCGGGACAGCGGGGACGGCCTGGCTGCGTGTGACCGCCGAGCGGGGCGGCGTGAGCCCTGAACGGGGTAGCTGTGCACCCATCGCGGCGTGTGTGTGCCCCCCAGGCGTGCGTGTGACCCCCTAACGGGGTTTGTGTGTCCCCTTAACGGGTTTGTGTGACCAATGAACGGGGCCTCTGTGATCCCTGGCGTGTGCGCGACCCCTTAACAGGGTGTCTGTTCCTCCCTAACAGGGCGCCTACGTCCCTTGAACGGGGTGTCTGTGACCCTGCATTGGGTGTCTATGCCCCTCTAGCGGGGTGTCTGAGCCCCCTCGGCGTGTCTGTGATCCATCATTAGATGTCTGTGCCCCCCGGGGTGTCTGCGCCTCCTCAGCGGGGCCTCTGTGCCCCCTCTGGGGTGTGCGTGCCCCTCAGTGGGTGTCTGTGACCCCCGGAGGGTGTGTGACCCCTTAGGGGCGTCTGTGTCCCCGCCACGGGCTGGCTGTGACCCCTCACAGGGAGTGCGTCTCCAGCTCGGGGAGTGTGTCCCCAGCCCCAGCTCCCGTCGCGGGGTGTCAGGGCTCCCCCCTCTCTGGGTATCTTTGTCTCTCTCACGGGCTGTCTCAGCCCCCTCACGGGATATCTGTGCTCCCTCTCGGGGCCTGCCCCGCTCCGGCACCGGGAGCCGCTCACATCCCGCTTTCCTCCGCCTGGCTCCTTCCCTCGTGTCCCTCCCTCTTTCTGCTGTGGTGCTTCGGGGTTTGTTCCGAGCGTCTCTGGGAGAGGGGCTGTTCTCCCGGTTCCTGGGGGGCGAGGCAGCTCATTCTCCCGTCTCCGCCACTGCCGCCTCCGGGGACCTCGAAACTTTCCCGCTGGCGGGAGCTGCGCGGCATCCAAGGGGCCCAAGGGAGGCTGGAGGCTCCTGGGTTTCGGCGGAGCCCGCCGGCTCTGTGGGACACGTGCGATCTTTTGTTTTGTGCTTTATTTTATTTGCCACATTCTCTTCCTTTTCCACAGAGCGGGACGGCAGAAAAATCCCTGGGGAATATCCTTTCGAGGGTCTCACTCCCGAGCGCCTGCGTGCGCGCGCGAGAGGGAAAATGAATAATTAGAGAACAGTTCCATGAAATCACTTACCGAAAAATTACCTGCCCATTAAAGAATAAGCGGTGAGGAGCAATCATGTAAATCCTACCTACACCCAACTGTAGAGGGGAGGCAGCGATCCCGATTCCCAGCCCTGCGGCTGCCTGCTGGCATCGCCGTCCCCATCTCCCTACCCCGGGAGGAGAGAGAGGGACGCGTGGGTGTGGAGCGCAGTGGTTTAGTCCACACCCCGCAGCCTCCCTTCCCCAGGCAGCCTCGGGAGCCGCGCTCATTCTCCTCCCTCTCCCTGCCAGCCGGTGTGTCCGCGGCGGCGGGAGGCGGAGGCGGCGGGAGAGGAGGGGAGAGAGGAGCGGAGCGAGGAGAGGAGCGGCGGACTCCGGGGCCGCCCGGGAGAGCCGCGGCGGCGGGAGAGCCCCGAACTCCACGCAGCCCCCGCCGCCGCTCGGCAGCAGCCGCGGCACCGCGCCGGGGTCCTGCCCTCCAACAGTTCCCGCTCCGCTGCCAGTGAGGAGGGAGGTGTAGGGGACACGGCTTTTTTTTTTGTGGTTTTTTTTTTCTTTTTCTTTTCTCTCTCTTTTTTTTTTTTTCTTTCTTTCCAGGGGATGCTGAGAAAGCAAGCCGTTCCCCTCCCGTGTAGCACATTGCCTGGGCGTTCCTATTATGGAAGTTAAGTGAGAAACTCTGCAGCTTGAACTGATTTGGGGAGAGAAAGGGAGAGAGAAAGGGGTAGGGGGAGGGCGAGAGGAAGGCGAAATAGCCGAACCAAACCAATGGTTTTTCTGCAAAGTGCCGGGAAGTTTGTGGAGCACTTTCTAGGAATCAGGTCCTTTCTCAGTCTCTCCTTGTCTTCCGAAGAAAGAGCTTGCTTTTGGATTGCCATGGATCCTAAAGAGAGTCTTAGTAGACACACTTGAATAATTCCCCTGCTTGGGCTGGATTGGTGGGAATTTAGGAAGGAGCGTGTGTGCAAAAGCAGAAGCCTTGGAGCTCACTCGCTGCTTCTCTAATCTGAATGGATCTAAAAGTGTCACATTCAAGACCTTTGCATCTCCAGCTTTTGCATTGAAGATTTCCCTTTCCACTTTAAGTAGCTGCTAGGAAACTGAAAACTTTCGGACCTACCTCTTACTGGCTTTGGATATTTTTTTCTTTTTTCCTCTTTTTTTTTTTCTTTTTTCTTTTTTTTTTTTTTTTTAATCTGTGTGGAATTGGTCTTCCAAGCGATCGGGATTGTTTTTAATATGTCAAAATGGGTCTGCTGAAGCCACTCCTGCTCTTCGGATTTGCATTTTTTCAAGTCTACGGTAAGTTCGCTTATTTTAGATATGTCATTTCTGTGCAGAAATCCCCTTCATCTGAATGTGATTTGGGACAGCACATGGATGGCATTATAAGCTTTAACGTTATAGAGCCCTAAGTTTGTTCCTGGGATAAAAATGGTATTTTGGGAGGGAGGGATCGGAAGAGGGAGAATATATGTTTCCAATAAGCAGCCCTTCCCGTCTCCGAACTTAATGGAAAAGCAGCATATGAATGGAATAGTGTCAGCTTGAGGTGGCGAGCAAAGAGTGAAAAACTACCGTGATAAATCTTTTATTTAGGGGTGGGGAGCGGAAAAAGGAAAGGAAAAGCAGAGCGTTGTTGTAGCTGGTATTACTTTGCCGCCTTCTATTGTTAAACTTTCCATGGGTAGAGCCAGCTGATGAAATAAATAGGTTAGCCCTGCCTGGGCTCCAGGTGAGGCGGACTGGCGGATTTCCAGTCCCTCAATGCCTCGTTCGGTGCTGGCGAGCGGCAGGGAGGGAGGGAGGGAAGGAGGGAGGGGGAGAGGGATGGAGGCGGGCTGGGAGCGCGGGGCGGCGGCAGCGCGGCCCCGACCACTCCGCTCCGCCTCCACCCATCCTCGCCGAGCCGGGCAGGTGGGGCGACAGCGTCTCCCCATCAGTGCTAGCCTCATTCCGAGCTTCCCGGAGGGAGGGTTTGCATGAGGCTTAGCGACGTCTGGGGAAAGGGTGGGTTTCCTTATGAACACCGCGCCCCCCTCCGCCCCCCTTTTGGGTGTGCTCTGCAACGTTTCTTGTGGTTTCGAGTTTAAGTACTGGATGGGGAGTTGTAAATTATCATCTTGGGGAAGTACAGTTTAGCAGGGCGAGAACTTCAGTGCAAGGGTAAAGTGCCTTCCAGAGTAGGGGTGGGCGCTGTGCTGCTGCACTAGTGGATGCACTAGAGCAGCTCAAGCACACGATTAGGAGCGAGCATCCAGCTCTACCGAGGCTGTGCTGGCCCCTAAGGCTCGGCAGCCCGGCTAGCTTTGGGTGCTTGCAGCGCAAAACAGTCCTTTAGGCTTGAGGTGGATGCAGTGGCTGGGACCCTGGATGTTTTTGCCCGTGTGACAGAGCAAACTTTGTTCCAAGAAGCTGCTCACAGCATTTGCTGTATCAGTCCAGAGGCAAAGGCTCGGGGTTTATTGTTCGCAGGCGCAGGCTGCTTTGGGTGTTTCTCCACCACCCCCTAGCAAGAAAGGAGGCAGAATAGAAGAGAGACAGATTCAAGTGCAGTTTTACCTTGCATACATAATATGCTCTGCAGTTTAATCGTAGGTTTGGTCAGTCGATAAGAAAATTTTTACCTAATATGTGCACATGCTCAACTAAACATGAGAAGTTTTAACAGTAAAAGGATTTAATAGAACATTTATGTCCGTCAGTGTAATCATAGTTTTGAAGGGATTTTGTTTTATGTTTTGCTCTATTTTTCTTGCTGTAACAAAAGATCCTTACCTTTAAGACCACTGATATTTGAGGTATCTTTGTATACAAACTGCAAACATCAGTCTATAGATATGTAATTATTAGTAAGTGTTTAAAATTGTATGTAGCTAGAAGGAATACAATTAAAGTGCTCAGTGGAAGTGACAGAGTGAATCAGAGGAGCTTGGTGTTACAGAATGTAATTAAAGTACCAGTCTGTTTGGAGATATATGAAACAAATGCAATTAACCAGCTTGCTGGAACGACAGGATCAGGACATAATTTATTCGAGTTTTGTCATGGGGAACACATGTAGAACGTTTATTCTGCTTTAGCCTTATGAGGGTGGGGTGGTGCAGGTGAAGCACACAGCTAATTTAGAGCCGGACCATTAGAAAAAATGGCCAAGAGTCTCCCAGAATATATGTGATACTCCCCTTTTGTGGGAAGATATTACAGAGACTGTCAAGTTTGCCTGCATTAACAACTCTCTGAAATAAATAAATAAAGAGCTTTGTGGATAGCACATCATGACCAAGTAGATATAAGCTGTTATTGTCGAAATGACTAACAAGTAGCTTTGAAGAAATACTGGCAGGCAAGCTTGGCACACACTGCTTTTGTCTCTTTAGGAGCATAGTAATTACGATCACATTTTAGGCTGACATATACCACTAGTTGCTTTGAAAAGATCTCCATCAACATCAGCACCATTTGTGATGCTTTAGTTTAAGAATAAAAGACAAAACCCAACAAACTTCTTATTTAATACATCCTTGGTTTGTTTCCTATGTTTGAAAGTTACCTCTTAGTGTGTTTCTGGGTTTGAAGGGGTTTTGTTGTTAGGCTTGGCTGGCTGTTTTTGTTTTTTCTCTTGGCAAGACGTCCAGACATAGACACTGTAGCATTTGAGGTATGTTAACCATCCTTTTCCCTCTAAGTTTGGTTTTATTTAGTGACTGAAAAGCAGAATAGATCAAAATAATAATCTTTTTCTTCTAAAGTTATTTTTGCTATCCATGGTTTTGCAACACCTGAAAATTACACAGCTCAATAAAAGTGGCAGAAAACATACGCTACACATACATATGTAGATTTTAGGGGTTTTATTATTGTGCTTTTGATTTTCCTGTAAAACTGCCCATGTTCTTACAATCTGGGGAGAGAATAACTTCAATTCTCTTTTTCTTTAGCTATCAGTCTTGGTTATTGTTCTTGACACAAAGCAAACAAAGAAAAAATCAAACACAAAAAGTCCCAAATACTAAAACACACACAGAACTCCCCCAAACAAACAACAAAACACCCCACTGGACACAGTCTGCACCATAAAGTAAGACACTAGTTACTGGAGTTAAAAGAGCTGATTACATGTGGATTTTTAATAGTGTTCATCTGATTGTTCTTTCATTGTTCCATGTTTTGTTATCCTTCTTCCAATAATTAATAAAGTTTAAAAGAACAAATATTAACAGAAGACATAACAACTGATGCGAACACCAATATTGGTGGGCCAGACCCTGGCCTGATAGGACTCATAAGTACTTTGAATGAAAATGACAATCTTTTATATCAGAGCTGGTTTTCAGTCCCTTGAAAACTGCAAGTATGATATTCTTGAATGGGAGAAGGTGTTAAAGATATATGAGAATAATTCTGTAAACCCAGCAATTTATCACCATATTAATATATTTCAAAAGCACTCATTTTCTTAATGAAAATGGTGCATCTGAAATGGTGTGGCTGAAACATTCTGTATTTCTTTTAATTTTAATTTTTTTATTCATTTTATTTCTTCATGCCAATAAGCTACACATCTGTGGCCTTGTGTAGGTCCCTGTAGCCTGTTGGAGAACATGGCTTACATATAAAGCTGGAGTATATTCTTCCAGTGAATATTTGAGCTGACAGGGTCTTGATCTGTCATCTGAGTTTTGCTGTTGATGGATAACCTTTGCTTCTGTGGAATGTGTGCATTTTAATGCCTTAAGAGTAAAATTCTGGAGAGTTTGCAGTTTTGTTTCTTTTACCTTGTTCTTCCATAGGACCCAATTCTGCAGAGCATTTAAGTGCTTCCATCTCTTTGCCAGTCTTGCTGAAGTTGATAAGAATTTAAACACATGTTCCAAGTTAATCATAGGCTTTAAAACTTTGCTGAGTAAGGATGAATTTATGCCTATGATAACAGGTTGTGTTGAATTAGTCTTAAGATCTTGCTTTCTTTACTTCCTGTCTTGTAAGTCAGCATTGCAAAAAAATGTTTTCATGTGCAGAAGATAAGCAGTGAGGTAACCCTTCCACTGTACTTCCAGAGATGGATTTGCTTGAAAAGTTATATGATAATACAGGTTTGTGTCTTTACTAATTTGGAACTCTGCAAAAGGTCTGATACTCTGCAAATCTTTCTGAAAAGTTGAAATTAGGGGGTTTTAAGCCTCTATGTGAGTTGCACTGACTACAATAATCCTTCCATCAGGAACTGTCTGGAATTATGAGATTGATGTTGGTCAGGGAAATTGAGTTTTAGCAATGCAGGCTAAAGATACGCAACCTTAAAAGTAGACAAAAGACTTAAAATACATTTTAAAGGATGCATAAAAAGTATCAAGGAGATGTGCCAAAAAGTGTGATGAGAGGAAAAGCAGGCTTTGGCTGATCTGTCCAGTCAACTCCATTTGCAGGGGTCACTTTTCCATAGCAATGCTACATGGGCTCATAGCCCTGAATTCGAGACATGCTCTGTCCGCTGCTGAACCATTTAGTGGAAATTACTGAAGAGTATGCAATGGCCTTTTAGCCATTTGTTACCCTTGAATTGCTATTCAGATATTGATCTGGGCTAAATAGATTGCTAACAGGTTCTGTGCATTCTGTTTCAGCCACCTAAGAGGACGCTGCTGTCAGGTTTTATCTGTTATCTCAGCTGGCATGGCAGAGCTTGCTCTTCCTGTGGCTGCCATCTGGCTCACACCTCTCACACCAACCTTGGGGAGGATACTTAGTGATCATATTGATGCTGTTTCTTGCCAAGAGGCTCCATTACTGGTGTGCTTTTCTACATTTTTATGGAAATCTCATTATTTCACAAGTAGAAGGAGGAAAAATGCAAGTATTTGCTCTTGCCAAATAAATAAATAAAATGTGTTGCCTTTTTGGTTCTGACTGAACAGACATTTCTTATGTGTAACTGCTGGATTTTTACAGTACCCTTTTTTTCCCTTTTACTGTTACAAGAGGTTTCTTGTAGTTACACTTGACAGTACACATGCCTCGTATGTTCAAATGTATTTGTTTTGGTACGTGGACAGGTACAGGATCTGTTCTTAAATCACTACTTCAGGGAGAATGTTGAGGATACCTTTTATGCAGGATGGTCTTGTGGACTGTTAATTATGAGATCTTTGAATGCAAAATATATGGATGGAAATAAAGATTTGCAGATATATATTTTGGCCTCACCATCTTTACTCTCGCCCATGACTTCTGTTATAAATTGTGGACAACAATTGAATAGTTGAAGTTACAAGTTCAGAAATAAGACTGAGTTTAGTGTT